GGCCGAATGCCGTCGGGTTTGGACACCGTACGGGACCCCGAACGGCCGTACGTACGGAGGTCTGCCCGGGGACCTCCGTACGTACGGGCTGGTGACCCTGACTTACAGTATAATCAGTTAGGGGGTTCAGCCTCCTGATGAGTCGGTGGAACTCCGACAAAACAGTTTGCCCCTTTACCGTCCTCTTCTCTCGTTTGTTGTCCTCTTCTCCCTCTCTGCCTACGGTTCACTGGGCAGTTCTGTTTGACAAAAGAGAACAACGAAGGAGGGGGCTGTGACGAACTGTTTCGTCGGAGTTTCACTGATTCATCAGGATGCTGAACCCTGAACAGTCTGCAGTATCCCCTAACTGATTACACTGTAAGTGATAATCCACCTAATCAACTGCATCACGGTGAAGGGGGAGTTAAAAGAAGAGTGAGAAAATGAATGGTTTCAGTGTGCCCCTCGTCTTTCTCCTGTTTTTTAATCTTTACCAAAATGCGCTCTTTTCGTTCATAGTTATTTGACAATATGTATATCAAGACTCTCAACCCTTGTTAAACCACTAGTACCTCCGAGCCTGTTTTTCCCAACCCTGAATTTCACTGCGCACCGAAAGTTGCCGAGCCTGGGTCCCATTGTGTTTTCTTTTATGCTTCTCTTTGGAAATGGGAAAAAGAAAAAGAACAAAAAAAAAATAAAAAAAATCAATGTGAAAGCAGCCGGATGCAGATTCTGGGGTACATGTCAGAGTATGCACCTTCAACGGGCGTTACAGCTCTGCTGACATCACGGCAGCAGGAACAAAAAAAAGAAAAAAATCAAAAATTCGGCAACAACTCTTTGGACGTGAAAGCAGCTAGATACAGAATCTGGAGTACCTGTGACAGTATGCCCTCCCAACGGGCATTGCAGCCCTGCTGTAATCACGGCAGCAGAAAAAAAAACAAAAAAAAACAAAACAAAAAAGCAACAACACTTTGGACGTGAAAGCCTGGATAGAGAATCTGGAGTACGAGTGAGAATGCGCCCCCGGTGCGAAGTGTCAGCTGCTGCCCGTGGAATGCGCCTTGCCTCTCGTTGGCAGGGCACAAAACGCGGATCACCAAAAAAAGAAAGCAAAACACATACAAAAAATGAAACTGGCTATGTTTCTGGGTAGATGCGTTCCTTTGAGTTCTGATGTGAGCACATCTCCGTCACGACCCTCCCCGACGTCCTTCCTTCCTTTCTTTCTTTTCCCTAATTTCCCGACACTGGCGGAGGTACTAGTTGAAACGGTATTCACCAGTTCGCAGTAGCGGATGCAGATCCCAGGGTTCGATCCCTAGTCCCCACCTCACCTGTGTACAGTATCTGTGTCGACCCTAGAGTTGAACTTGTGACCTGTGTATTTGTAACAGTTGGTAGGTTCTTGTAGGGTCCATAGGTAGCAGGGGTTCGATCTGTAGACCTGTCGAGTAGGAGTCACAGTCAGGTCTAGAAGTCGTAGCTGTAGCTTTCTTGAAAGGTCAAGGTCGTAGCTGCTACAGTCCAGAGAGGTCAAGGTCGTAGCTGCTACAGTATCGAAAGGCCAAGTCTACAGCCTTCCGGAAGTTCCCAGTAGTGGCCTTTCGAAGTTGCCCACGTTTAGGCTAAGGCAAGTGGGCAAGTGGTGAGGCAAGTGGTGGAGTCTGCCCTTGCTGAGTCAGCAGTCCCAGTCCTAGGCAGTCCTGGTCCAGTCGAGCAAAAGGGTCAGACCAACGAGCTGCAGAAGTATAAATCAAGAGGCAGCGTCCAATCATTCATTCATTCCTGCGTGAGCCATGCAGAAGCGCTGCCACAAGCGACTTGTGCAAGGAGGTATGCAGTGAGCCTGAGGACGAAGTGGGGGAGAGAGAAGGAGTTAGCCATAGCGATAGGGTAGTAGCGGCCATAGCCGCCATAGCTGTAGGTAGAGTGCAGTGTGAGTGTGTCTGTGTGTTCTGAGTATCACATGTGGGGTATCCAGGGTGATCCTGTGTATGCGAACAGAGAGTTGTGTGGGCGCTGAGTTGCCATAGCCATCGAAGTGAACTTGAATCTGAACTGTGTTCTCGGTTACCATATCTCTAAGTTTTGAGTGGGCGCTTGTCGCCAGTTTGCTGCGCACCTGTTTGCATGCATGAGAAGTGTGAATGAGAGCTAGTCTGATTGTATCGGTATAGGAGCTGGTACCTGCTATTCCACGTGCAGCGTTGTGTGTCGCAGGGAGAGTGATGCGCCATAGCTGAGGTGGCCGTCGAGAGAAGAAGTCCGCCATAGCGGACCTGGAGGTTGAAGAAGCCGCCGCGCACACCTGTAGAGAAGACGACGACGAAGAAGAAGACAGAGAGGGAAAGAGAGAGAGAGAGGGAGAGAGAAAGGTTGAGCGATACAAGATTGGCTTACCACGTACCTGCGTTGAAGACATCGCTACGGCGAGAGAGAGAGAGAGAGAGAGAGAGAGAGAGAGAGAGAGAGAGAGATGAGCGATACAAGTTTGGTTGTCACTTACCTGTGAAGTGCGCCGTGCAGTCCCATGAAGTGAGAGGCGGCCATAGCCGCGGAGCTCGACCACAGAGAAACGAAGGAGGGTGAAAGAGAGGACGGAGGAGAAAACGAGGAAGGTGCAAGAAGCCATAGCCGAGGAGGTGAAGGGAGAGATGATAAAAAAAGAGAGAGAGAGAGAGAGAGAGAGAGAGAGAGAGAGAGAGAGAGAGAGAGA